AGAGAAACAGATCCCAGAAAGAGGAAAAAAACCCATGATGCCTGTCACTAAGTACAATATGACTCTACTGATGAAGGTATGAGCAGGCGAGCTTGAGGACCTCAGGGAATTCACAGAAACAGTGTGGGATTTCCACGTCTGTGCAGAAGGAGAGCCTCAGTCCACTCACGCTCTCAGGAAGGGCTCCCAGCACACTGATGAGCCAGCTCAGGAGAAGAACTGAGCACAGAGCTTGGGGCTCCTGAGGACCGTGTAGTGCAGGGGCCGGCACATGGCCACGAAGTGATCATAGGCCACCACTGTAAGAAGTCCCATGTCCAGCAGTCCAAAAATGGTGAAGAAGTACATCTGGGTGCTGCAGCCTGCATAGGTAATGGCCTTGCTCTGTGTCTGGATGTTCACCAGCATCTTGGGGACCATGGTGGACAGGAAGCAGAGGTCAGAAAAGGACAGGATGGAGAGGAGGAAGTACATGGGTGTGTGCAGGTGGGGGTCTGAGATGATGGCCAGGATGATGAGCAGGTTCCCAAAGATGGTCACCAGGTACAAGGACAGGAACAGCCCAGAGAGAACCGACTGCATCTCTGGCTTCTCAGAAAGTCCCTGGAGGAGAAATCCTGGAGTCCCCGTGTGGTTTTCTGGTTCCATGTAAAGTAAATGTCCCCAGGGGAGAAGCGGCCTCTAGAGGAAGTCAACGGCCACCTCAGGACCCTGGCTGCCTGGGCGTGGACCCAGTGCTCTAGGAGGCATTGGCTTGGTGGCCCCTCCTCTGCTGTGGGTCACACTGGGGTTCCTTAGTGACCCTAGTTGCCTTTTGTTGCCACCACCAGCTGGAAAACCCAGTCACCATCCTAATTTATTTATTTTTATTTATTTTTATTATTAGTTGCTCAAGACAATACAATGATCTTGACATATCATGCATTTGATTCAAATAGGGCATGAATTCTCATTTTTCCACATGTACAGATTGCAGGATCACATTGGTTATACATCCATGTGTATACATACAGCAAATCCTAGTGTCAGTTGTATTCTGCTGCCCTCCCTATCCCCCTCCCCTCCCCTCCCATCTCTATTCTCTACCCATTCTACTGTGACACTTATTTCTCTCTCTCTCTCTCTCTCTTTCTTCCCTTCACACCATCGTATATGTATTTTGTGAACTCAGGAGAATCTCCTTCCATCTTCTGTGCAATTCCCCTTCTCCCTCCCTTTCCCCTCACTCCTCTTTTCCTTGTTTTGTGGTAATCTTTTTCTCATGCTCTTCCTCCCTGCTCTGTTTTGAGTCACCTCCCTTATATCAGAGAAGACATTTGGCATTTGCTTTTAGGGATTGGCTAACTTCTCTTAGCATAATCTGCTCTAGTGCCATCCATTTCCCTGCAAATGCCATGATTTTGTTATTTTTTAATGCAGAGTAATATTCCATTGTGTATAACTGCCACATTTTTTAAATCTTTTCATCTGTTGAAGGGCATCTGGGTTGGTTCCACAGTCTAGCTACTGTGAATTATGCTGCTATGAACATTGATGTAGCTGTGTCCCTGAAGTATGCTCTTTTTAGGTCTTTTGGGTATAGTCCGAGAATGGGAATAACTGGGTCAAGCTTTCCAAGGAATCTCCATACTGCCCTCCAAATTGGCTGCACCAGTTTGCAGTCCCACCAGCAATGTACAAGTGTACCTTTTCCCCCACATCCTCACCAGCACTTGTTGTTGTTTGACTTCATAAGGGCTGCCTTTCTTACTGGAGTGAGATGGTGTCTTGAGTTGTTTTAATTTGCATTTCTCTGATAGCTAGAGATGGTGAGCACTTTTTGTGTACTTGTTGATTGATTGTATGTCCTCCTCTGTCAAGTGTTTGTTTAGATTCAGTTCCCAAAGCCGACTGGACCTGGGCGACTCCACTGCACCTGGTCAGAGCCTTCCTGATCTCAGGTGTCTTTGGAATGACTTTTGCGCTTCACTTTTAAATGTTCTGGTAATAACCACCATTTAGGTAAAATGTTAAAAGCTGGGGCTGTATAATTCCCATTAATGATGAGGAAGCCACATTTTCTATAGACTTGGTTAATTTTTATTTAAAAAGTATAATAGATAAATCAGTGAAGAAGTTGACTCATCCAATTCATTACCCAGAAATGTCATCAGTAATTTTGAAATCTCACCTATTGGCAATGCATATAAAGTCTTGGGAATCACATGAAAATAAATGTGCCAAGGAATTTTCCAAGTCTATGTTAACCTGATACCAAACAACAACTGATCTTTCTATAGAAGCACTACAAGACAAAGCAGCCAGTACTTGCATTAATTAGCACAAATAGAAAGTCACAAAGTACATGCACACAGTGTCCATGGGGTGTCCATGAAGCCTTTTGTACAATCAAAATGTCCATTGGGCCTTTTTTCTTCCTTGGAGAGGCATGGACCAGAGTCACTTAGGTCCTGACTTAAAAATAGTCTTTTTGTAATTTTCTTAGCAAATATCTGCAGGTGCGGTTTGTACTGCGCTGCCCAGGAAGTGACCCAGGCCCATCTCCCTGTCTGCTCAGTCTTGTCTCCTACTCTTTACTTCTTACTTACTAACATGTCTGTCAGGAAATTATCTGGGGATCAATTTTCTTGGCAATTTGGCCACTACGTCACGACTATGAAGATCTGAAGTGGAATATGGCTTTCTGGGGAGCTTTACACATCCTCAGAAGCCCACGTCCCACATAGAGCAAGGTCTCTTCCTTGTAGGCACCATAATATTTTATTTTTATATTTTTTTCTGTTTATATTTTATTTTTTGTTAAAAAATTTAAAGCAAGTTCTATTCCTTTTGAATGTTGTGGATGTGATCATCCTGGGAGGCTGGTTTTCTTGCTTCTAGAATTTTTGCATGGAAGAGGCCTCATAGGAAGGGGGGCAGTAAAAGAATGTTTAACAGAGAAACTGAGGAATTGGGCTGCAGGTGGCATCTGGATGTTGAGTTTGCCCAGCACCATGTTGTGCATGGACAGATTTCAGGTTCTGCAGGAGTTGAATGTCGATCATGTCCTCCAAGAATCCCTTCACATGGCCAACACCATGGATTTCTTGAAACACACAGCACAGAGTCTTTRTCCTGTCCTAATGGCTAAAAAATGGTGGTTCAGATTTTCCAGGGGGAAGGAGGATGTAGCTCCAGTGATCTTTCTAATTATTCTGGAATGATAATTATTGAAAAATGACATAAGATTATTGAAAATAACTCAAGTTCCATTTAAAAAGGGAAAGAAAAGATTTGTTAGATAAAGAAATTGTAGCTGCTCATGTACAAACAAGAATATGAGATGATGGATAAGTATTTCCTTTATTGCAGTAACTATTTTATTTTCGGTATATTCTTGTGGCACACACCCAAAATACACAATGAGGTTGTAAATTATAGCTGTTAATCCATTGTGCCTGGTGTATGACCACTGGAGGGTCTTAGCCACCATCTTCCTCCCTAATTTTTAAAATTTTCAATTGACAAATAATAATCATCTACCTTTATGGGGTATGATGTCGAACGTGTGTGTATACACACACACACACACACACACACACACACACACACACACTTCAATCACATAATTTTCTTGCCCAATGGATTTATCAGGGCATGATCAAGAGGCCACATGAGATTTCATTTTGCTGACTTTGGACTTTCTCAGAAGTGAGGCTGATTCACTGGAGCCTTATGAATGCTGTGCTTCAGAAAATTATTCAGAACTGGTTACAAGACAAAATGTTTTGTTTTTATGAAATGAGCCAAGGGAGGGATTCCAAAATGAGAGGAAGATACTCCAGCAAATAAAACCCTGGAGATGCCCAGTTTAAGGAGACTCTGGAAGATAAAATGACATCAGGCCACCAACAGAGTGGACCCTCGCTGTCCACTGCCCAAGATGGTAGAAACACCTGATGAGACCATCTGAATTTCAGAAGCCTTCGTTCCCCATCTGATGGTTTCCTATTTTCTAGATAAAAAGTTGCCATTTCTTTTCCTCAATGTGTATATCATTCCTACGGCTGTGGTGGAGGGAGGTGGGGGGTGAATCTATTCAGTTATCTACAACATGAGGCAGATTTTGATGGCTCCATGAGAGAGAAAGCCAACCTATGTAATTGGTGTGATAGACAAAATAATGACCCCACAGACGTCCACACCCTAACCCCGTAGCCTGTGAGTGTCACCATGCCTGGAAAAGGAACTTCTCAAGAAGGAGTATGTTAAAGATTAAAAAATCTAATTTTACATTAAATCCACTTAGATGGCACATATTAAGGGTATAATGTGTTTTCCTGCCTGTCTACAGTGTGAGGGTTTTCATCAGGTTAAACATAACTATCTCCTCCAACATGCATTTGTTATTTGTGGTAAAAACTCTCAAAATCCTTTCTTTGTCTTTTAAAGAGATTGGTGCTGGGATGGAGCCCGGGGCCTTGCACTTACCAGGCAAGATCCTTCCCACTGAGAGGCCCCTAGCCCCTCAGAGCTGTTGGAAAGGCACAGCGCACTTTGTGGTCTAGTGACCTACTGTGCGCCACACCACAGAGCTTCTTTCTCCTGACTGTAACTTAGTACCCACTGATCAAGCTTTTCCCACCCCCTCCACCCAGCCTCTGGGAACCAGTGTTCTGCTCTTCGTTTCTATGAGATCAATGTTTGCATTTCACATATCAGTGGGATCATGCATGTTAACCATCTTGATATGAGAAAACCATCCTGGATTGTCCAGGTGAGCCTAAGGTCATCACCAGGGTCTTTAGGAAACTCAGATAAGGCTGGGGACAAATGATAATAAGCAGGAACTAGGTGGGTGGGAGGGAGGGAGAGAGAATCATGTAAGGTCAGCACACAAGCAGGCATGATGGTGGATTCCAGGAGGCAGGGGAAGCATGGTCTGTGGACAGGAGGAGAGAAATCCTGCCAATACCAGGGAACGTGTGCTCTGGGAGCAGGGAGTGACCCTACCATGCTGGGTCAGGAGGTATCGGACACAGCCTTGCTAGACAGAGTGTAGGACTCGGGTTCAGCTGTCCGTTTCCTGATCCTCTTGAGCCATGTCCTGTACTGCTCCCGGACCTGCAGAGGCAACCCACACTCTGGGTCAGCTCACAGAGAGGGGTGCAGGTGGGGAGGCATGGGTGGGAGCTGGGCAGGGGTACCTGTTGGCTGAGGAGGCAGTACACCAGGAAGATGAAGACGCCCTGCAGGCTGTTGACGATGGTGAAGAGGTAGGCCATGACRGGGGCCAGGGGGCCCACCTGCAGGACACCCAGACACCAGGTGCAGCCCAAGATGAAGAGATGAGCCATTGCTTTAAATGTCAGCATCCTAGGTTGGGGGAGAATGGAGGCTTATAATGCACCCACAACAAAATCAGGCTATTCCCCTCTCCACCCATGGATGCACCTACTCTCCCCTGTAAGCGATTTCTTGGACTGAACTCTGATCTTTACTCTCAATGATACCCCTCAATAGAAATGCCATTTTGGGTCCAGGACAGTGATACTGCATAAGGTGAATTCCAAAAACTCATTTTCCACGAAGATCCCTAATTTCATTAACCAGTGTTACTGAGGATGCCCTGGGCTAGGGCTTGGACATAAGTCACAAACAGAAGCTGGGGTCAGGGTTTCACACCTGTGGCCCCATCTCCTCAGGAGGCTGAGGCAAGAGGATCACACAGCCTTGGGAACATAGTGAGGCCCTATATTAGAAAACAAACACAGGACAAAATTTCYGTTTTCATTAATCWTATGCTCTGTTCAAGTGTCTAATACAATTAAATGATGATATGCAAAAATTTGAAAGGTTAATCAGAGGAACCCAGAAGAAAGAGCAAGAATTTTACCCAAGATGCTGAGTGAAGGATCAACCCCGCCCCCTGGAGGACTGAACTGGAGTAGCATTTATCTACAGGGAGGAACAGTTAGTTACAGGGTGGGAAGGATTCTGAGCTGAGGGTGGGGCAAGAAAGTGCAGCCTGAGATGTGGGGACTGTCAGGAGGACAACAATGCTCTCGGTACTCTTGCTGTGGAAGACCTGAAAAAAGAGTCCAAGCATTGCTGATCAGCCAACGCCAATTCCTCCTGAGGCTGAGGGAGTCACAAGCTGGGATCAGAGATGGAGGCATTTTGGGGGCATCTGCAGCAGAGCCAACCAGACACCCCCCCAGGAGGGACACAAGGGGCTGCTGAGGCACATGGCTTTGCTCTTGGGCATCATCCATGTCTGTGGGGTTGTGTCCCCTGGTCCATCTCACCTCGTGTTCTGGAGGGTGGACACATCTCTGTTGATGGAGGACAGCTTGTTCTTCACAATCCAGAGGGTCATCAGGAAGAAAACCAAATTGACCTTCAAGAAACCAAAAAGGAAAGACAGCAGCATGAATCTGACATAATTTTCCTGTGTACATATATGACAGCATCACAGTGAATCCCACCATCATGTACATTCATGAGAATGGGCTCCTAACTAGATAAGGTATATTCCATGCTTGTGTAATTGTATCAGAATGGATTCTACCTTCATGTATAACTAATATGAACCCCACAAAAGAAACTGCAGGAGGTTTATGAATATCTTCTTTTCCCTTTTGCAGTTCTGTGAAGGGAACCCAGACCCTAGTGCATGCCAGGCAAGCTCTCTGCTTTTGAGCTACATCCAAATCCCCCACAGAAAAGTTTTATTGAATAAAATTTTAAATCTCTTATCTCTCCATTCTAGCCCATGTCGCTTTTGTATTTGACAATAGCGTTAGAATTTGTAGATGCATAAATCTTGCAAAACCCAACCCAACCTGTAACAATCCAGGATAGTCCTGTTCTCATCACCATCCTTATAATCCTGCTCTTCTAGTGACCCTCATGTGGACAGCAAGGAACTCTGATGACATCACTCACACAAGAGATGGCACAGGCAGGTCCAAGGAAGCCCCACACAAACCCCTGTTCTGGGTTGAGCCAGCAGCTGAGCAAGAGAGAGAACAACATCACTTTGCTGTGTTCATGTAGGAATCCACGACCAGTGTCACTCCACACATGCACAACCACAAGGACGGGAAGCCAGACCCCTGTATGTGTGATATGTCACAGTGCATTCTACACAAATGAAAAATCAACAAAGAGAGAGAATAAATGCATTGATCCTTGAAGACACAGAGCAGTTATTTTGATCTCTTCCTCCCTTTCCTCAACAAACATTTAGTGTCTGGGTGGTAGGCTTTCTGTCTGGCTCTGAAGATACCAAGGAAGTAAACAGGGTTGTATATCTCCCACATCTCACCTCCAGGAGGATACACAGTGTAGACACATTGTAACAATGAAACAAAAATGGAAGGTTCTTAGGATGAATCACTGGACGTCATATTAAGGTCTGTGTCTGTGGGATTAAGATGGTTAAGGACAGTTCCCCAAGGAAATCACATGTTAACGGAGACAGGAAGATGGGAGGGTGTTACTGAGGTAGTCAGCTYTGGAGCAGGGCAGAGGACTGTGAACATAGTCACAGTGCTTGAGAGTCTTGTGAACCTGACATAGTTTTAAGGGCTCATCTTGTTCCATTCAATAAGTTGCTTTTTTGCTGCTGCTAAACTTACCCAATGACAAGAATTCTTTCATGGATTTATGGACATGGAGTTCATGTACCATAAAATTCACTCCATTGAAAGTGTACATTTTGTTACATTGTCATGTGGTGTGCATGCACGAATATGTAGCAACAAATCTCATCATTATGTACAACTATAAAGCACCAATAAAAATGCAGAAAAATGAACTGCACAGTTTTTGTTTGAACAGTGCTGTGTAGCCATTACCACAACTTAACTGTGGAACATTCTCACAGCTCCATAAAGAAACATGTGCACATCAGCACCCGCTCCTCCCTCCTGCTCCCACCCCTTACCTTGCCCCCAGCCACAGGAATCTATTTTCTCTTATCGATTTGTTTCTTCTTGGCATTTCACATAATGGAATCATGAAATATGTGATCTTTAATGACTACATTCTTTCACTTAGCATGATGTTTTCAAGGTTCACTTATAATGCAGCATTTTAAAGATGAAATTCGCCCATGAACATATTAATTGTCTGTATTAGAGGAGCCCAGCATGGTATTTCCACTCAGGCCCATCATGTGCACTGATTCATCCCAACCTCACTTTTCTACTTTCCTTGACACTGCCCTGCACCCTTCCGGATCTCTTGACTTCACTGTGTTCTACTTTCAGGTGGATTTATTTTTTAGCTTCCACAAATGTGAGACAAGATGTGGTACTTGTGTATTGGCTCATTTAACTTAATATATTGACCTCCAGTTTTATCCCTGCTGCTGCAAATTTTAAATATTATTCCTCTTTAAGGCTGAATAGTATTGCATTGTGTGTGTGTGTGTGTGTGTGTGTGTGTGTGTGTGTATCTCACCTCTTCTTTCTCCATTCATCTGTGGGGGGCACTTCTGCTGATTCTGTGCCTCAGCTATTGTGGAGAGTGCAGCAACAAACTTGATTTTGTGGATACCTGCTAGTTTTGCCACCTTTGGGCACTTAACTAAATGGTCCTTCTATTTCCTCATTGATAAAATCAGGCTAATGAGAACATCTACTTGTAAGTAGAGAAGTGAGGATTATTTGAGTTAATGCATATAAAAGTGGCTAGAGAAGCACCTGCATGAAATAAGCACCCTGTAAATCTTAACTATGACACTATGTTTAATTTTTACTTTTGTAATTAAGTCCTTTTTATTCTACATCATTAAAGTTTAAAACTGTCATAATGAAATCCCTAGGACTGACATGTGAGCYTAAGCAATAAGACCTTTCACGGGAGAAGATGAGGACTTCTCTCCCTTTCTGATTGCATATCCTTCCTGTCACCATGGTAACTACAATCTCAAGTTTGGCGATTATCTTTGTCTATCAGTTTGATTACTTAAATCAATTCTACTTTCCCCACTGAGGAATTGGGATTTGGATAAATAGTAGGTTAAATGAAACCAAAAAAGTCCTAAGCATTTCTTTTGCTTTTATATTTGCTATTTCTAGGAGAGAGATTTTGTTAATTAATTAATCCTTACTATAATTTTCCACAGGAAAGATGCCCTGGGGTTACTAGTTAGTGTCGCTGTGCATCTTAAGCTCTGAAATACTCAAAATGCTACTTTGGTTCAAGTCAAGGCCGGGGACATGCTCGAGAGGAGAAGGACAATGGGGTCCGCATTTACCGAGCAGGGGTGCCATACAGGTGAGGTCTGGCTGCTGCAGACACGGCCACGATGGCCGCTGGGACCCCGTAGCCCACAGGGAACATGAGCCTCCTCATGAGCCTGTTTCTGCTGGAGGAACTGAGCACAGTCAGGTTCCGTGCGGTGAGGAAGAGGAACAGCCCCTCCAGCAGCATCCAGGTGAAGGAGGCCAGGTAGAGGTAGTGCAGGGCGCCCGCGGTGACCGCGCACAGCACCTGGGGAGGAGAGAGACCCTGGGGCAGCAGTCAGTGTCTGGGCGTGGCCCAGGAGGCCTCCTGCGCCCTGTGGTGGGGGATTCTGCTGTGCACCAGGCGCTGCACTGTGGTGCTTCAGCCATGGGCTGCATGTGTGCTCCCATAGATCACAGCAGAGCTGGAGAGGTCCTGCTGCCCAGTGACGTCACAGCCTCCTAGTGCTGCCCTGAGGCATTCCACATGCAGTAGTGGTGACGTCACAGCCTCCCAGCGCCGCCTAGTGGCGTTCCTCATGCAGTAGTGGTGATGCTCTTGTGAACCAACCCCCTGCACTGCTGGTTCATAAACAGCAGGGTCACACAAGGACAGGCAGGACCTAATACTTACAAATAGCAACCAATGATTATGTGACGGCTTATGCATTTACTACACTATGCTTTTCACATTATTTTAGAAGTGACTATAGTTCACAGGGTTTAGAATCTTGTCTCCAAATGGTGCTGATCCTGGGAACAACTGAGGGCGCACACTGAATGACAGTATCAGTAGCTGGATATTCAGCCATCCCTGGACTCTTAAGAGACAGAAGGTCACTAAATAATCCTGTGCATCAAAGCAGAGAAGATAATCAACCCAGAAGGTGGGTAGACCTACAAGCAGCAGGAAAGAGCAAGGGAGCAAACCACACAGCCCACAGCAGTCCAACAACTGACTCTGTAGGCAAGACAGCAGAGGAAATGTTGGGGAAGAATTTAGAAAGCTCCTAGTTAAAATTTTGAATGAGCTGAAACAAGATGTAAGTGATGAACCTGGAGAAGATACAGGAAGTGGAGGATCATTTCAATCAAGCCAGATTCTAAAAATGAACCAAATAGAAATTCTGAAAACAAAGGACTCAATAACCAAATTAAAAATTAAAAACCTCCTGTTTCTCCTCATACAAAGTGTCTGCTTTAAAACAGGGTGCCGCGTGACACCTGCCCAGTTGCCTCCTTCGTGTCTCCTGATTGAATCGGGGGCCACATCTGGTGATTGACGGATGCCATCTAGAGTTTGCATCAGTTCACCCTACTCGGTCCCCTAATGAAGGGACTTCTCCAGGATGCAAGCCCTGTTGCTAAGCAACACGAATGTAGCTGCTGGAGTTGTAAAGAGGGTTTGTTTTCTCGTTGAATCCGTCAACGTGAAATGGGCATCGACCTCCTCTGGACTTCCCCGGGGCCCAGGCTGTTTGATTAGGAGCTGGGCAGCCTGGCTCCTGAGTT